CGCATCATAGGCACTGTATAGATGGGGAAACTGAGGCCAGGGAGCAGCTGGACTGGAGCCTCTGGCCCAGCCCAGTTCATTGGGTCTAAAGCTGTTTGAGTCACACGCTACTTTACGAAAGCGATGGCTGCTCCCGAGAGAGATGCCCATAATTACCGGGGGTCGCGCCTCCTGGGGGTGCACGGCCCAGGCTATCCCGAGGGGCCTAGTAGGTCCGAGCAGGACCCCTGAGTCAGAGCGCTCGCCAGTCTCGGGTTTCCACCACGACTCGCGATGTGCGCGGCTGTGCCCCCAGCGTCCCGGGCCCGGAGCCGGAGCCGGGAACAGGTGAGGGGAGCGCCGGCGGTCAAAGCGCGCCCTGCTGCTCTCTCGGCCGGCTCCTAGCTCCATCGCCAGAACCAAACCCCACCCTACAAACGGGGAAACCGAGGCCTGGAGAAGGAAGGGGGCTTGCCATGTCCACCATGTGAGTTGGGGACAGCGAGAGGGCTCCTGCCTACAGGCTCTTTCTCGCTCCACCTCGGCGCGAAACGCGTGTATGGTGGTGCTTTAAACCTCGCCATCTCCCGTGGTTTGGGAAACTTTTCCTGCTACCAACAGGCGCAGCCCGAACCCGGGTTCCACGTCCACACGAGCGCGTCCGCCCCTACTCCCACCCCGGTCTCTCCGCAGCGGGAGGGAGGCCGCGCCTCCGTGACGGGCTCGGGCGGGCACCTGCACCAGCCGAGCGCCCGGGGGCGCGGAGCCCCGCTGCGCTGGGGTCGAGCAGGCGGCGGGGGCGCCCTCTCCGCCAGGACCCCGGCCCTCGGCGATGCTCTTTGAGGGCCCCCAGGTCCTTCCGTTTACAGACGCGGCGCCGGGGTCCAGAGAGGAGGGCGCCCTGGCCACGGCCACGCGCGCGGGGGGCACGGACCGGAACGCCGGGCTCCGGACCCCGACACCCGGGCTCCCCAGCCCCGGAGGCAACCCGAGGCGGCGGCTATTTATAGAGGGAGCCACGCTCAGTCCCTCTTGGCGGCGGCGGCGACAGCTGAATATTTTGCCCAGATATGGCTGGGGCCCGGCGCGGGGGCAGGGAGCCCCGAGAGCGCGAGGGGGACCCTTGGCCTGGTGGGGGGCTTACCGGGCCGTGGAGCTGCGGGGCGGGCGCGGGCGGCGGCGGGGCGGGCGCGGGCGGCCGGCGGACGGGCGCGGGCGGCGGCGGGCGAGCGGAGCGCGGGGCTGGATGAGCTCCCGGGCGGCCGCGGGCGGGCGGGCGGGCGCTGTGGGCTCCGGGGGTGGGAGCCAGGGGCGGGGCCCGCCCCCCCCCGGCCCCCCCCCCCCCCCCCCCCCCCCCCCCCCCCCCCCGCCCCCCCTTCCCCCCCCCCCCC